ATGCAGCATTCTACTTTGCATTCCCCGAAATGAAGCAAAGAAGCGAAAGGAAAAAAACATTGCAGGACATTCTACTTTGCATTCCCCGAAATGAAACAAAGAAGTGAAATAAATACAATGATGATTCGAGGGCATTATAACGCGATTACCGATTTTTTGCTGGGCTATTTACAATTTGGTTTTGAAAGCAGAATAGGTAAGCACTACAAGGAATTCACAACCGGAGTTTTTCTCGACTTATTCGGAGCTTTCAATCATTATTCTAGGGTTTAGATTCAATCATAGTTAATTCTGCGTGATATTACAGGATTATACATTTTTTGAATAACAAGTAAGATCAATTCTCAGGGACCTGTTCTATATATATAGTAATGGAATATAGAATAAAAAATATTATTTATGTACGATTACGGCCATGCATGATATGGCGTCAGACGAAATTCGTTGCCGCTTTGGATGTGTGCAATTTCATATACTGCAGCGTGTTTTAATTTTGGCAGCGAACTTTCTTCCGAAGAAGTTCGCTCAGCGATTTGATTCTGTTTACACTGTTACAAAGCAAAAGAAATACAATCAAATTCTAACAAATAACACTATCGTTAAAACTTTTCTTAAAGTAATCGATAACCTACAGCTCGATGCTTTGCACATATAAATATTTTGTGTAAAAATATTAACATAATGGTACAATTAAATTATCTTGGTGTAAACTAATGAATATATATAAAGTTTTTTATATTCTTTTGATATAGTTATTGAATACAATTATGGGAAAAAAAATCAAAAATCTCTTATAGGTTTTTCATTTAGCTTGTTGAAGTTGAAATATAGTACATATTATTCCTTTACGGGGGTAGGTGCCTCCACTTTTTAGTGCAATTTATTAATTTAAACTGTCGTGGATTTGAATGTGCAATAGAAAGAGTGTTAAAAATACGCTTGTGGCGGCCAACGGTATAAGGGGACATGCATATGTCAAAAGGGTGGAGGTCATGCAAAGGCTTGCGGAATTACACTTGTGGTCAGCTGATTAAGTTAAGTGACATTTTAACCAGTTTTGGCTATTTTTATTTTATTAAAGTCTAGCACATTACATAATCAGCATCATATCGAGCCCTAACCGCCAAAAAGATGTAAGCGATAGTTTTTTTTATTATATTTTCAATGCATAAATGCATCTAGATACTCTAGGAACATTTCTGAACCAAAAAAAAATCTGAAAAAAATTTCGCTTACATCGTTTTGGCGCTCAGGGCACGATATAAATCCACATTTTAAACTTCGCATAAAAATTATAAAAATTCAACAAACTTTAGCAATTACACCCAGAAGTTTTAAACTTTTGATTTAGAAATTTAACAAAACTTTTATGTATACAGTTTTATGCCAATTAAATTTTAGTAGGAGAGGGTGAAAATTTTTGACGTTGGAAAATCACGTTGATTTTTAGTAATTCATTAAAACGGCCTCAAGCTCAATAAAATTTTTTGAATATAATTGTTATTAGACCAAAAAATAAATAAATAAACACTTCCATAAAAAAATAATAAACAATATATAAAGGAAAGGGAAATAGCCAAAGAATGTTAAAGTGTCTCTTCCCTATTCATATTTTCTAAGCTGTACATAGATAAAGAGGCGACAAACTGAAATGTCCAGAGCGGCTTATCATATGAAAAATATAATACGCTTACCAACTCTTTTCTTTAGAACTTGCTGATCTTATTAGGGCATTTGGATTGTAAAGGAATTTATTTTAAATACTCATGAAATGACTGCGAATAATTTGCTGAAATGCATGAATCCTGCCTTAGTATACATATATTTACATATTTTATGTATATAATAAAAAGGAAAAAATAACTCATTCGTAAAGTTCACTCTTTGATGAGAAAATGCGAAAGGCAATAATTAGCGTTTGTTCATTTTTTTACATTGCTGTCGTTTGCGCGAAACAACGCCATAACGCTGCTATATGTTTGTTGTAAAAAACTGCCGATTTTCGCACTTTCACTCAAACGCACACAATTTCGCATCAAAGAGTGAACTCTAGTATTACAATTCAAAGGCCAAAGGATGCATTATTCTTAACGAGATATCAATTTCGCTCGCACAATGAGCCAGCCAGCATCGGTATTTGGGAAGTTATTGTTTGAACATTGGAATACCATTCGCAAGTAACCGCATTCACGTTGCATAATACATTCCAACAATGACCAAAACTTTGGGATTATCAATTTTCCAAATAGCAGCAAAACCATAGAACAACGAAATCGAATAGCAGCGAATCAATGCAAACAAACACATTCGTTTTGGCGGGAACATAATGTGCGACACTTGTTCGCGTAGGCGATAAATTTCTGCTGCCACTCGCGTAAGCTGCATGCAGCCATAAATAAACTTTGGCTTGAACCCATGTTGGTCGTTTTGGAATTGCTTTGGAAAATTTTATGCTTTTGTTGTGCTCTGGATTAGCGCTTCGATAATAGTTAGGCCTATTTGGTTTCAATTGGCTTTTGTTTCAGCCATGGTTTGAATTCGCTTTGAGCTTTATTGCTCAGGTATGTACGTACCTTGTTTTGTTGCTGATGCGACTGCTGTTGCTGCTGTTGCTGCTGTTGTTGGGCATAGCCGCCCATTTTGCTCACTGGCATCAGCGCATTGTAGTGAATGTACTGCCCATGCGACGGCGGCGGTGGTTGTTGTTGCTGATGCTGCTGTTGAAATTGTTGCAAATGATTCGTCGATGCCTTCTTATCGACAATGGCATATGTTGGCATTATGTGATCATACGACGACGAGGTGATGACGGCGTTCTGCTCCGCTAACGCCGCAGTTGCATAAGCGCGATTATGTCCCTTGGTGGTCCATTCTTCATCATCGTCGCGGCCATCTAAACACATATATGTACATACATACGCGCCCACGAAATAGAGCAAAAATAAAAGAATGTACATATTAACGGTATGTAGGATGACAGTTATTCACGATTAGTATTCTAGCATTTGCTGCTGCTGTGTAAACTACTGTACAGCCTCAACTGTGTGCATTAGCACCCTACAGCACCCACGTTAAAGTGACTGTAATTATAGTACCTTTTGTTGTGCTAACCAACCCACCTTGTGGTATAATGTCCGGGTTCTTGTCTATACTATCCAGGCTGCTCGTCACATGGCAGGTGTCCCGACCGATGCGTATATCCTGTATTGATTGACCATTGTGCAGTGTTCCGATGCTGACGCTGCCATTATTGTTGCCACGCCCACTGGCCGCCGATGGATGCGAATAGTTATTGCGATCGCGTCCAGATGAGCCGCGCATACGGACAATGATGACAATGATGAGCGCCACCAGGAAAATGCTGGCCACAATGCCGACCAGAATGCCGAGAAATGGCCGGATATCCTCGATTACGGGCGCATAGGCGAGTGAGAGGTCTATAACAGTAGCGACAAAATACGATACTAATGTACATATGTATGTATGTATGTATGCATTTACCGGGAGTAGCGATAAAAAAAAAGATAGGAATCATTGTTAATGCATTGTTTAGGTATGCTTTTGTAGGCAAAGTGGCTGATTGGCTAACACTACAGGACTCGGTTACTACATTTGTTTCAATACTAAGGCTTATTTATATGTACAGAAGAATGTGTGTATGCGTATGATTGATTGCTCGAATGGGAACTTTGGGTAGATGATATTCTTACTTTTGTCTTTTGTTTTAGTCATTGTACTGTGGTTGAATTGCGTAGAAACAATACTAGTTACAGTTGAAAGTTCATAATAACGTGGCAGTGTGTCAAATTTAGCCTTTTTGTAAGTAATAACGACTAAAAAATTCAAAAATTAAAGTAAATTTAGTAAAGTATCTTATAATTTCCGGCTGAAAACTGTTCACAAAGAATAATAAAAGTGTCAGAACTTGCTTTGTATTGACCTGCAACTATTGCTCGCCTATTTTCACTCATAAGAAATAATTTTAACCAGGAATAGAAAAATCGTTTATTTACATTCTGGGGTTTAATGGGGTCCAGTGAAGCTTCTTGGCTGCAGTTGTAGATGCTCGACTGAAATCAATTCCTACTCTCGAGTCCGAGTTTGCGGACTTGGGTAACGTTTACCACCTTTGGTGCGGACAGAAAGATATCGAACTTTAGGAGCGATTCCAATGACCTCAATTTAAATATTTTCAGAAGTCTACAGGTTTGCAGCGGTCAAAAGGTCAGAGGATCTGATAATGCGCTAGTTTTGGGACCTGCCACCTGAAACCTGCTACTAATGAAAAATTCAAAATACCCCTTCTTTTGACGACGAACAATGCAAACGTTTTAAGGACTACGATTTGAGCACATATACATGGTACGTTCGGTCCATCTATGGAAAATGTTCTTCCACAGATGAGATAGACGAGGCAAGGTAAGAATATGTATATTACGCAAACTGGTAGTAGTGGGTAAGAAGTATGTACCATTCGAGATGGATACATCGACTCGATCTTAATTTTTTTATGACTTTTCGTTTCCTTCTATTTTTTTTTAGTTTTCTCAAGATTTAAAACTCGAATCTTTCCAGATTCCTTAAGTTATTTTTCGAGTTTTCGGAACCTTTCTGTATTTTTAGAATTTCTCACAAAGATTTGAAAGGTCTACATATACGGGTCGCACCGTATATCGGATAAATTTTTCGTGGAGTTATGTAGTGAATCAATTCACTTTTCATATTGCATTGTCATCGGGTTCTGAGCTAAGTTAGAAGTTTCAAGTCTCTGGCTCATCGACAAGTTGTTTAAAAATTTGTTGCAAGATTTGATTACAGACACCGAGACAGGTGAAAAGCAGTTTTTGGTCTGACGACTCTCGGCTTGAACAATTGCAGTATATTGTTGAAGTATAAATATTCATCAATATTTATTTTGGTGACGAAATTTAATTCATATATCAAAAACAGACCATTGTAGCAGTCCTAGCTAAAGCAAACTATTTTTGATAGCGTTAGTGTTTCCCACACTTTTAATGGGGAATTTATAATTTATGTAAATAATGGTTTTTAAATGTGCAAAGGTTTCGTTCTCTGCTCAACTTCATACGCACATACATTATTTTAGCTCCTAAAGTTACAATGTAGATTTCCTGAGGACCTTATATAGCGTATATCTACTGTATAAATAAATACATATCGTCGTTTAAAGTACAAAACCGCGTATCTGAGGTTGTATAAATTATTTTGTAAAGAGTAAAAACACTCATATTTCAAAATTGTTCTCTTTTTTATAAAGCAATCGCATTTCTGGCTAGTATATTTCAGGACGAATGGATAGGCTTGAGCCAAGAGCTTCGGTGAGCAAATCGAATTTTTGACAAAAAATGTCAGTAACGCAGTTTTGTACTTTAAACGACGATATATATGTATAAAATTGATTTTCAGTACTATTTCTTCAAATTTTCAGCTTTCTTGAATTCTAAAACTTAAAAATAATTACTAATATTCTTAATATGTTGTTATAATGATAAATTCTATTCCTCAACATGTGTGTAAATATGTATGCCACTCATTCAAAATTCATTTATCACTTATAACTCACCCGTTTGTTTTTCAGGATCTTTGAGTGTATAAACTTGCAAAATTGTTGCATTGCTTCGTCCTTTTGTATTGTGCGCCACCAGGAATACATTGTAACCGATACCGGGCACCAGCCCACGCACTTCAAAGTAAGGCGTTCTATAATGTATTCAAACCGTTCATTGTTGTTGTATTCATGTGGAATTTGTGTTTTTTATCATCGTCGTCACGCAAAATTAGAATTTTAGGCATTTGAAAATTCACAGTCGAATATAGAAGTGACAGCACAGTGGTGGCCAGCAAGCAAAGCAGCAGCAAAAAAGCCAGCCATTCAACGATCAAACGAGCATGACGTAGCGTAAAATGAAAAAGAGAAGAGACAAAGTGAAGCAATAGAAACCGATTTGAAAAATTAATGAAAAAAGGCGGATGAAAGTGCTTGAGAGCGTCACAAATGCTGCAATTGAAGTGAAATCCAGCGTCACATAACGCACATTTTTTGTTTTGGATTTTCGGCGTACTTCAGCCGCCCAAAAGCACTGCAAAATTGTGACTCGCCAATATATGGACGAATGTAGATGGAACTGGCAGCTGCCAGTGGTCATTCAACACAATTTGAGCGCGAATAGAGGGAATTGCAATGGGTGATTGGGAGCGGCACGTAGCAGGCAGGATAAGGAATGAGATCGGTGAGGTGCAGATGACTTTGATTTTGGGCCACACACATAGCGAGTGGCGCGTGGATACAATCTACTCACTTTGATTTGTAAATTTTTGGATGGCGTGTCGTTCCATTCACATACACTTCCATAATGAAATCCTGCTGTAGACCGCCGTCGAAGCCTTCGATGCATTCAATTTGAAAGCCAGTCGACGTTTGATTGAGTAGCGTGCAGTTAACCAATGGATCCGGTTCGCCTGTGAAGTGTAAAAAAGTGTTAGTGTGAATCTATTTTTTGCGTTTAGTTTTAGAACTTGGGTTTGTAAGAATGTAAGTTTATAGGGAAAAATTAAGAGAATGTGATAAGAATTTGTTTTAAATTTGAATATGTATGCTACGCACGTAACAGAGTCTTTGATTTGGCGCTAATCTAGAATGTGGGCAAAAAAAATTGATTGGGTGCGTGTAATTGCTAGCAGCAAAAAAATTTTTTGTAAGTGCGAATGGTGCTGTAATTTTTAACCGCCTCCAAAAACGGAGGAGGTTATAAATTCGTCGAAATATTTGTGCTCTGTAGTGTAAGCTTTGTATGTAAATTAGACTTAGCATCAGCAAAAAAAGTTGCGCTTTTCCAGCTGTATTACAAAAATATTGTATTTTAAGACTTCCACCAAAATATTTCGAAAAAGTATTAAGATTTCCGTTAGCTGGACCGGTTTGAAAATATCTCTAAAAATGGAGTTTTTTATGAATAGAAATAGTTTCTTAAAGAATTTTTTGAAAAAAATCACCTCAGATGACAAAACAGTTTAAGCTTAAAAAATCTACATAAAAATATTACAAATTTATTTCAACGGAATAATGAAATATTTGACGCTGCTTTTTTAACTTTTTTCAAAGATTTGTTTAAGAAAAACTTGAATAACTGCTCTAAAACTTTAACGACACAGACTACACACCTACACAAAAAAAAAATCAAAACTAATAACATACTAAAAAATTGTTTATTATAGCTTAAAATTTTGCTGTACAAAAATACATAAACAGAGGTTCACAAAAGTTGATATAAAACTATTCATCAATTTAAATAGTTAACTTTTTACTGCGTTTATTTTACGAGGAGGAAGCATCGAAAGCTTAACCCCGTCAGT